TCCTGACACTAATTGACATAGCAACCATAAAAGTTTAAAAATTAGATTGGTAGGTTATAATCAAAATTTACTCGTTGCAAAAGTTAAGAGACCTTAAAATAGACTAAGTATTTGAAAGCTTATATAAAAAACAAGATATATTTCAAAAGTTTTGAAACAAATATTAAAGTTGAGACCTAGGGATAATTATTTCGTTTTTAGTTTTCTATTATGTTTGTACAATTTTTGTTTTTACATTTGGCTTAAAATATATTTGAATTTTTAGTCAAAATTTTTATATTAAAAAAGAAAAAAAAAATCAAAATTTTAGATTTTAGATTTTATTTTATTTTTTTGAAAATTTAGCTTAGATTTTAAAAATATTTATAAAAGTTATGCAAATAAAAGAAGAAAAAACAAAATGCAAAAGAAAAAAAATACATAAGGAAAGTAATGCTTATAAAGCTTGTGGTTTTAAAAATAGAATATAAAAAGCGAAAGTTATTTGCGAAATTAATATTATACCTAAATTGTGAGCATAATTAAGTGGTAATTGACACTTCCTCCAACTATGAGGTCGTGAGTTCGAACCCACCCACATATTGTATTCAACAAATTTATTTTGTGAATTATTAAAAAAATAAAAAGGAATCGAAAGAACTGAGATGAAAATTAAAAATATGTCCATTATTTGAGGGTAGCCCACTCAACAGTCACCACCACATTTAAATCTCCAAGTGTTGCATGATAAGTTAACGTCAAAAAAACTACTTTTTTTAGTACGTAAAAAAAAAAAAGTACTTGGAGTTTATTTGAAGCCGGTTATATTTTTATTTTCTTATATCATTTTTAAAAAGATGAAAATTTAAATTACCAATTTTATTTGGACAATTTCATTTGCTTGGAAACGATCATTTGTGAAAACAATTGAGGGGAAAATTTTAAAAATAACTCTTTTTAGGAGGTGATTTATAAAAGAATTCTATATTGATACGATTATTGGTTTTTTTACAACCAAAAAAAATTATATATATATATATATATATATATATATATATTTAAATATGTTGTTCTTTTATTTTAATTAATATGATCGATATGGGATTTTGAATTTCAATTCAAAATTATAAAAATAATAGATTTAAAAAAGAACTTTCAAAGAAGCAATTGTTAAATATATCCAAACAACTCCTCTTGCCTCTGCAATATATATTTCTCAATCTCTCTTTTAATTTAATTTTAGGAAATTAGAAATATTAAATCAAAGTGATTATTTGGGCAGCCATAACTTTGATTGAAAATAATCTCAAAAGAGGGGGAAAAGCCCCTTTAATTGAATCCATCAGAACTTAACAAGGTTGCTTATAAATAGAGGTGTTAGCTATATATAGATTTTCTTTAAGAAAAAAAAAACTTTGTTTTATTTGGCCATAAAAAGTAAGAATAACAGACAAAAAATAGTTATCCATAATTTTGTGTATATATATATATATATATAATTTTATATGATTTACCGTTGCAATGTCTAATTTAAATTTTAATGTTGAGAAGGCATTATTATAAATGTAAAAATTTATTTTAACCTTTGCAAAAGATTATGTCGGTTAGCCAGGTAGACAATATCAATGCTACAAATGTGGAAGAGAGAGAGGGAGATTTGTTTTATATCTAAGTCAAACAGATTTAAATTTAAATACTAAAAACGTTAATCAAGTGATTATTAACATATTAATCCATGCCACATGTCACTATAATATAAACCTTTTCAATGGGACATATATTATATAAAGTTTGGAAAAGGCAGATAATCCATTGAGCTAGTTAAATTAATTATATATGTTTTGTTTGAATTAATTAATAACATATATCCCAAGTGATGGTATTCAATGTTTGAAATGTAATTAGAATTAATGCAACTAAAAAAACAAAAATCAATTGCAACAAAACAATGAAATGTTTATCTTAAGGCTTACCTAATGATGTTATGCTATAACTACCACTTGATATACCTTTTTATAAGCTAACTATATGGATGCTCTCTTAAGCAACCTATGCTTCAAAATCTCTCTCTCTATTTGCTTCTCTCACCTTAAAAAGTAAGCTAACTTGTTATTTTTTATGAAAGTAAAAGAAATTCATCAACACATGACACCCTCTATATATATGTAAGAAAATTAAAGTAAAACAAAAACAAATCAATACAAGTGTGTGAATATGATACTTAAAAAAGGTGTATCCAAGGTTCAAGAAAAGAAAAAGTATACCAAATGATTTGGCTCCACAACCAAGAGAAAGAAAATGTCATTAATTATTCCTTTAATTTCTACCAATGTGGTCCAAAATGTGTGAGACATTTGTATTTATATATACAATAGCGAGAAGAAACCAATTAAAATTGAATATGTGACCAATCAACTTTTTGAATTCGTGTGGCATGCTTACGTTATTTAATGAATATTAAATTTAGCTTCAAAAAATTTGTTTCTCTATGCCATTCAAATACAAACTATATAAATTTAAAAATCTAGGTTACACAAATTTAACTTTTTTGGGACTATTGCCTTCTTTAATATATAAACAATGAAAGAAAAGGTTTGAGTATCAATTTGGAGAAAGAAAAGTATGCACAAAAGAAGATCAAGACATGCATTTTGATGTCACCATCTTAATTAGTCCTAAAAGCTAAAGTTTCCAAAATTAATTACTTTTTGTGTACTATTAAAAGTATAGTCAACTCATATATGGATTATTATTTGATTGAAGACTTGGTAAAAATATATATTTGCATTATCAATTTGAGGAGGTGAGCATCATGAATATTCTTAGTAATTAAAACAAAGCGACCTTTGCCTTGAAATAACTAAATAAATAATGAATTGATAAGGGCGGAATCGGATTCATTGTTAAAGATATTATTTTTCTTAATGAACAAAATATTTGTTCTTTCTTCAAAAAATTTATGATCTCTAGTGAACCTCTAGTGAACCTCT